CGGGGTTAGGCTAGATATTTACTGGGTACGCATTGATTTACGTACTCATGCTGCACTTCTGCACTAAATGTGCAGGATCTGACAGGTTCATTTGGTGATCATCTTGGCATGTGGGCACACCTGTTGAGGAGACTTTATGTGAGCTGCATTCTAGGGTACGCATCGCAGTCCACCGAGTCTCCATCGTACTATTTATTTTATCATGTCTTTTTTATATTCTGGACAGATGTTGTATTATTATCGTACTCCTTAGAAAATGCTCATGCACTTGTGATACCGGGTCTTGGGGTTATACTATTTGATGCTTATGGTTTCGTACATCATTAACGCCTTTCAATTCTTTTATAAACTACAAATGTTGTACGTCCCCGTGGATTTAGGAGTGTAAATCTCCTTCCTTATTAAAAACTATGATTTCGAAAGTAATAAAATGAGTAATTAAATTGATAAATCACCGTTGGCTTGCCTGACGACGGCTTTAGGCACCATCACGACCTATAGTGGATTTTAGGTCATGACATTTATGACCGATTTTGATCGATTTTTTTTTCGATCGATTTCGGTCGGTATTCTGTGGACGGTTTTTGACAGTTTTCTAGTAGTGGTGATACTCATTTGTAAAGAAAGATTCGTCTCTCTCTTTTTAAGATGCAAACACCCCTTTTTCACTAAGATTCTTGTCCATACTTTTTCATAAGTTCCGAGAATAACCCGAATATTCAAGAATTTGTCTATCTTTCATCATTGTCAGGAGAAACATCCACCTATTCCATTCTTTATTGGGTGAATCATTCCTCTTATTTATTTACTGTCATTTATTGCTATTCATTATAATTGAATACCATATTATTGCTCTTGATTTCTAGAACATTTATTACATGTTATTACCATCGTCCGACCAGACCTACACGATATTTACTACTTTTTTAACAACCCTATCTAAGGACATTGTTGTTAGCTAAGATTAATCCTTGTTCACATAGATTTGATTATTTGAACCAAGATCTATATTTTTTGGTCAAACACATAGTATAAGGTAAATTTAACCTTTTTCCCTATGAAAAAAAAATCTTACCAAGATAATAATGTAGTATTTGGTTTATAGTATTAAATAATACTCGTATTACGTTATGCAAAAATCTATATATTCTTTGTGCCGAATAGAAAAGTGGAATAAGAAAAATTCATGAGCCATAATAATTTCTACATATAACATGTCATATGTTGACATAAATAAATTTTTTGGAAGAAAAATTAAAATTTGTGAGTGAAAACATGATTACACTTGAAATACTCCTCATGTAATAACCCAACTGGTCGTTTTGAGCTTTAACGTGTTGTTCGGAGGTTTGAGGCCTTGAGTAGCTTAACTTCATGTTTTATGACTTGTATTCGTAGTCGGAATCGAATTTCGAGAAGTTCGGAGTTGTTTCGGAAGAAAAATTCTCAATTCGGAAGCTTTAAGTTGGAAGAGTTGACTAAGGTCTGGCTTTTGACTAAATGACCTCGGAATCGGGATTTGAAGGTTCCAATATGTTCGTATGATGATTTCGGACTTGGGCGTATGTTTGGGTTGAGTATCAGGTGGTCCGAGAGTATTTTGGCGCTTAATATGGAAAGTTGGCATTTTGAAGGATTTAGAATTTTCTGAGTTTGGTTTGAAGTAGACTTTGGTGTTATCGATGTTTGTTTGGCGTTTCGAGCCTTGGAATAGGTTCGTATCGTGATTCGTGACTTGTGCATAAAGTTTGGCATCATTCCGGGATGTTTAAGTATGAATCGGATGCGTTCGTCGAAGTTTGAATGTTTGGAATTTTTCCTAAGTTTGACCATGGTTTGACTTCAAGGCTATCGGGTTCGGATTTTGGGTTTGGGACTTGGAATAGGTCTATTTCGTCATTTGAAAGTTGCCTACAAAATTTGGTGTCATTCAGAGTTGATTTGATGTGGTTCGGACGATTGGTTGCAATTTTAGAAGTTCTTTAAGTTCATTGTGATTTTTATGCGTTTTGGCGTCTGATTCATGATTCTAAAGGTTATTTTGGTGTTTTGATTATGCGAGCAAGTTCGCTTATGTTTTTATACTTGTGTGGATATTTGGTTTGGAGCCCCGAGGGCTCGAATGAGTTTTGGACGCGTTCCGGAAGAGGTTGTAGAGGTTCAGCTGGTTCTGGTGCAATGTTCGCATTTGCGAGGTTTTTATCGCATTTGCAATAGCCGCATTTGCGAGATCATTCTCGCTTTTGCGAAGATGGGCTGGGGTAGGAGAGTTCGCATTTGCGAACAAACTGTCGCTTTTGCGAAGTCACTGAGCTCGCATTTGCGAGATTTTTGTCGTATTTGTGACGCAAACAGTGTTGGTCTGGCTTCGCATTTGCGACGCCAATTTCGCATTTGTGACCATCGCATTTGCGAGCCTCTTGTCGCAAATGCGATATCTGAGGCTATTATTAAGACTTCATTTCGGGACTTAGCCCATTTCTCTCACATTTTTATTTGGTTGGGCGATTTTTGGAGCTCTTGGAGGCAAGATTTCCATCATCTATTGCAAGGTAAGTAATTCCCACATATTGTAAGTTAATTACATGGATTCTATAAGGATTTAACATGAAAATTGTAGAAAATTGTGGGATTTTTGAAGAAAAACCTATAAATCATATTTTTGGATTTTTAACCATGAAATTGGACATGGAATTAGGAATAAATTATATATTTTAGTTCGTGGTGTTATGGATAATGTTTATCTTCGAAAAGTTTTGGAATCCGGGCACGTGGGCCTGAGGGTTGACTTTATTGACTTTTCGAATGGAGTTAGGAATGGTTATAAATTGATTAATTGTGAGTATTAGAGTATATTTTTATTGGTTTGCACATTATTTGACTAGTTTCGGATCGATGAGCATCGGTTTGAGGTGTTAGAGAGGCGTCGGAGCCGGTTATGGAACTTCGGAGCAAGGTAAGTCTCATGTCTAACCTGTAAGGGAAAATTTACCCCATAGGTGTTATTCATGTTATATGCTACATGTTGTGGGAGTTGCGCACGTATGAGGTGACGAGTGTCCGTGCGTATGCTAGAATTCCTGATTATGTCCTGGTAGACCTAGGTTCACGCCATACTTTAATTGTACTAATTGAGTTATCCCTGCATGTTCAATTCCTTTATTTCTCGTTACCGCCTAAGACTAGGCTCGCGTAGAGTGACGGACTCACTATTGTAGAGATTTGACGAGCTATTTGATTAGCCGCGGAATAATTGTGTTTTCCCCTACGAATTTCTCCTGCTTTGTGCGTTTTCATCTAAAAGCTTCCTTAAATTTCATAACTCACGCGTATATTCGTGAGTGGGGTCAAAGACCCGTTAAAGCTTCTTATTCTAATGGGATCGGGTCGTTCGCCTCGGCAATATCATATTTTTATGGGATCGGGCCGTTCGCCTCAACAGTATCATATCCATATGGGATCAGGTCGTTCGCCTCGGCAGTATCATATTCTTATGGGATCGGGCCATTCACCTCGGTAGTATCGTATTCTTATGGGATCGGACCGTTCGCCTCGGCAGTATCATGTTCTTATGGGATCGGGCCGTTCGCCTCAGCATTATCATATTCTTATCGGATCGGGTCGTTCGCCTCGACAACTTCATGAAACACTCTTATGGGATCGGATCGTTCGCCTCGGCAGAATCGTGCGTAATATTTGTCAAGAAGTCAGTGTATCCGTGAGTTTTCCTGATTTAAATTGTGACGACCTATCTGGTGGGGACTATTTTATATATATACGCCGGTTGAGGAGGTAACCGATAATTGAGAGCTTGTGTTTACTGTTCAGAGGAGGATCGTACTACGTACCTATATTTATTTACACTGTTTATTTACCATGCCTCATACTTGTTTACTTTCTATTGTACTTGATTTATTGGACCACTAGTAAGTGTCAATGTCGACCCCTCGTTACTACTTCTCCGAGGTTAGGCTAAATACTTACTGGGTACGCGTTGATTTACGTACTCATGTTACACTTCTGCACTTATTGTGCGGGTATATAATTCTGGTGTTTTCTTTTGGGCGCAAAGGCGCAGCTATTGCGGGAATTTTACGGTGAGTTGCATCTCATGTTACGATCCGCAGCATACGGAATCTCCATCAGAGTTTTTTATATTTTTTCTGTCTAACTTGTATTCTAGACAGATATTGTATTGTTATTATAGCTTCTAGTAGATACTCATGCACTCGTGACACCGGGTTTTGGGGGTGTTCTAGAATTTATTATGGATTATTTTACATTGATACACTTTCACTTATTATTTTAACAAAATTGTACGTAACCACGATTTATTTTAATGCACTGACCTCTCTATCTAAGTAAGATTCATGATTTTAAAAATAATAAAATGAATAATTAAGTACTGGCTTGCCTAACGGTGACGTTAAGCGTCATTACGACCTATAGTGGATTTTGGGTCGTGATACCCCAAACAAAAAAATTTAAGTTTCAAAAATAATTCAAATACTGAAATTCAGAATTAACAAACACAGATAAATTTGTTTAGGTGAAATAGTGATTTTCAGTATTTTAAAAATTAACTTTTAGAGTAAAAAAATTATCTAAATTTCAAATATTCTCACCGTTAGGGGTCGTTTGGCTTGAATACGGCTTATGCCGGGATAAGTTATGTCGGGATAAGTTATGCTGGAATTAGTTATGATGGGATTAATTATCCTGATATTATTTTTTATGCACTGTTTGGTATGTTGTATTAAAAATGACAATTGTATAATTTTTAAAAAGAAGATATAAGTTATCCCGACACTAATTACTCCACCCTCTACAAGGTATAAGTTATCCCAATATTAATTATAATATCGAAATAACTTATATAAAGTTTGCTAACCAAATAAAATATTAAGGTGATATTAAATTTTTATATCAGCACTATACCTTCTTATATCTCGTACCAAACGGCTTACAAGTGAAAGAAGTAGCCAACCCAATTGCACTAACCTAAAAAAGAAATTAGCACAATAGGAACAAAAAGCAGTAGCAGCTAAGCTCAGCTTCACCCTTGTAGCGCCGCCACTGTTGACTGTTCCACCATTGGAAAGAACCCATAAAACACCACCTTCTCACCTCTGTCGTATCTCCTCAACAACCACAGTCCAATTCCAAATCCCCAACCATGGCGATGAGCAATGCTGAAAAACTACCCCAAGAAATCATATTTGACATACTTACCCGGCTGCCGGCTAAGTGTATCAGCCAATTCAGGTGCGTATCAAAGCAGTGGTGCTCTCTTCTCTCAGACCCACATTTCGTCAAAGCTCACCTCAATTTTCATTCTCACAAACATGCTGAAGAAGAAAAACTCATTTTGTATCCCTACTTCTCTGGCTCTCCACGTTATCACTTTTAACCACGACCCCCAAAATGGAATCGATGCCATTTCAAGAAAACTTAATTTTGAGGGGCTCTCAGACAACTGGGAAAGAGTTGCTGGCTCATGTAATGGCCTGGTCTTGGTACTGAATGAGGAAGATATTTTATTTATAATCAATCCCACAACCTTAGAGTACCGTAGAATTCCAAACTCTCCTCTGGCTCTTCCTAAGTCTGGTACCTCTAGCACGTATGGTCTAGGCTATGATTCTGCTAGTGATGATTATAAGGTGGTTACTCTTTCTTATTATAAGGAAGATATTTCCTGTACTTTGATGTTTACTCTGTGAGAATGGGTTTATGGAGGCGACTTGAGAGCTTATGTAATGGTGGTGCAATTCCTATTCACGGTTTTCCGGTTTTGGTAAATGGGGCTTTCCATTGGTTGGCTGGCAAAGGTTTTGCATCTGCAATTGTTGCTTTTGATTTAAGTGATGAGAAATTCTTCGAGGTGCCAGTACCTACTACTACTGATGGCAAATGTCCTTTGTTTTACGATTTGGTGGGTCTTGGAGGGTGTCTTTGAATCTTGGCCAAAAATTATAAAATTGATGCTTGGATTATGAAAGAATATGGGGTTGCGGAGTCTTGGACCAAATTCAGCGTTACAAGCCAAGGTTCAGGTTTCACCCCTTTGTGTTTGATGAATGATGATGATATTGTATTGGATGTGGCTGCAGAAGAGAAGTTGATTGTCTACAATAAGAAAGAGGAACAGTGGAGAGATTTGAATGTTGATGGAATAATAGCTAAGTTTCAAAGGACTAGAACATTCATAGAGAGTCTTGTCTCTCCTATGTTTGGCCTTGATGCAATATTTTGAGATGATGATCTACTCAGGTAATACATCAGATTTTCATGATTTCTTATTCATTTTTATTTTATATTTTTTTAATTAGGTCCTCATATTTGGTTCAATAAAATAAATCCATAAAGTTTTATGAAAGGTAATTCTTTTGTCCTCCTAGAATTGTGTGACTGGTAATTTGTGATGGTAATTCTTCAATCCTGAATAAGATATACTGTGTTACTTGAAAAGGAAAAAACTTAGATTCGTCGCTTGCATTAATTCAGCATCATAAAATGCTGATGCTTTAAGAGAAAAAATAGTTACATTTTGGGCATACACTGTCTTGAATAGTTTCCAGACCTTTTGACTTTTTTTTTAATCATGAGTAACCTCCCAATGAACTAATGTAGTATTGTGGCTACTTTTGTGCATACTTTTTTTAAGCGATCTGATGGTAGAATTCTTATCTAGCTGCTCTATATACAGAAATAACATTTATGTTACTCCTTGCTTGATTATGTAATTCTCAGAATCTATGATTACAAAGACTAAAGGTCAATATTGGCTAGAACTATATCTTAAGAAGCAGATACCTCCTAGTTAATAGTTCAACATATTTTCTATCTTATACTATACGATAACTAAATCTCGAAGAAGCTCTTTTGAAAAACGCTTGATGCATAAATATGTTGTTATTTTCTGGTTCATTTATTTGCTATGATAGGATGGTTTGTCACTGATTGTCTTGTTTTTCCTGTAAACTGTTCGTAAGCCACTCTATTATATTTGCATAGCAAAACTGTTGTTGCTGGATTTCATATTTGTTCTTCTGAAGTTGCAACATGTAGTCTAGTAGTCTATAGGTTAGCATATGCATTTATCTGTTAAGTGTAATGCCACATAATCCCATTTGACACTTGCTCTATACCGTGCACAGGGATATGTCTGCTTCTATGGAATTGATTGTTAGAGAACTGTGGACAGAGTCACTGAGGCCTGGATCTTAACAATATATTTTATTTCCAAGAGTATTACTCTTTAATTATGATGTTATAAAATGGATACTCTTTCAAGAAAGATCACTATCATAGAAGGAGAATTTTTGAAGTAGACTTGCATTTGTGGTTTGTATACTATGTTGTATACAAAGGACAGCACTATAGCACCGTTGGGAGAAACTGGTTCCGATAGTTGATTGTTCACATCTCAATTGAGTTGATCCTTTGAATTGCTGTAAACAAATTTTTAGCTTTGCAATGTTTTAGCATGTCGGAGACAATTGTGTTTAGTTCTCTTATCGTGCTTTTGGCTGGAACAATTGAGACATATTCTTTATTTCATAGATAATAGACATTACAGCCTGTTACTGCGATTAATTGGTGAAAGTATGTTAGTCCAACATGGTATGCTTATAGATAGAGAATCTTCAATCCTAGAATAGACAAAATAGTGAGCTTCCTTCTCCTCTGAGCCGTAAACAGCCTCACAATTGATCCTACCCAAACCTTTTTCAAGGTCCAAGCTTTCTACACAGGTCGCCAATGGAGAAAGAAATCGAAATCAAGACAGCCATCACCTATGATAGCATGTTGGTTCTTGCAATGGCTTTGGTTTTGGTCGTGAATGACCAAGATTTTACATTAGAACTCAAGCAAATTCCTTCCACTCTGGGGATTGACTAACTTGCTAGTTTTACTATTTCATGGGGAAAAAAGTATATGATCCTATTACTGATGATTGCAAGATTTTAATGCTTTCCTGCTATTATATAACACAGATAACGAACATGAAGCGAGTATCACATATGCTTCCATTGACCCTACTCTTCAAAAATGGATTCTTGGAGTTGGCTTGAGGGTTCTTGACATGATCATGTTGGTATCTGAAGTTCAGAAGCAATAGAACACACCTCGAGAGCTTCAATGGCAGCTCCGGGAGGATAATGGAGAAACTAGCTTCTCCTGTAAAGCAACAAGCGTTCTAGGCACTGAAACTAACTATATCCATTGTATGTAAAAGGTCTCAAGAGAGCTAAATTGTCTTGACATAGGACGACAGGAAAACCAAAAGATAACTAGTATACCCCTTGAAGACTACAATAATAGAACATAAACTTCTTCTATGCTAAGTAAGTATAATTGAAGCTTCTGATTGTTCATGCATAGTTGTTTCTGATCGTTCATGTATAATTGTTGCTTTTTGTTTAAGTGATAGAGAAATTCTCGGAGATGTCAACACCTACTGAGCTTGGTAAAGGTGATTTGTTGGGGTGTGGTATTGTGACTCTTAGAGGGTACCTTTGTGTGTTCTCTGGACATGGGGATGTTTGGATGATGAGAGAATATGAGGTTGAGTCGTCTTGGACCAGATTTAGTATTATAGATATGGATGACCTAAAACATATGGAAGGAAGTTATCTCGAAAGTCCTACGAATCCTTAGAATTAATGTAGACTTAGATAAGATATGGCACAATGATGGCGAAAAAATCATATAGGTAATACTTACTAGTTAGGAATATTTGTCACCTTTTCTCATCCTTACTCCTATACACCTAAAACATTGTCGCTCTACCATACTTTAGCTTGCGACCTACACATATCTATTTATACTATTCGCAACCTTCCTTTAACTTGCTAGCACCATAGATTTCATTTCGTGCCTTCTCAGTTGTCTTTAAATGTAAGCAATTATTTTTCCTGGTCGTTCTTCCCCTTGTTAAATGAATACTTGCGTATCTTAGTGTTGTAATCTCGTGTAACTCATATGATGTCGAATATTACTTTTGATTTTACTTCCGTTTCATTAGTCACAATAGGTACCATTTTCTTATGGAGTGCATACAATGATATAGTGAGGCTGTTGTTACAAGATCATTTCTTCTTGAAGCCTTCTTCCTTATTTCATCAGCTAGTCTTTATATATATATATATATATATATAAACTTATTTTTACTACCACTGTTATTTTATTTTGGCATGATGTTCATATACAGCATCGAACCCAACTTTGTTTGGAACTGGTGTAGCTATTATTGTACCCTCGTTCGTCTCATCTCCTCTTCACTTAGATATTCTGATAGAACGTCCCTCCCAACTATCAAATCTCAATCTTGTAGACGTTGTTGTTCGGTGTCCAATGTTCAGATTCTTTATCCTATGGCTGGTATTTATGTTGGCCTAAAATTATTATGAGTTATTATCACTTCTAGCCATCCGGGAAAAATTAATGACAATCTGTAGCCATAAATTACAATATATATTTTATAGTCCAAAACTAATTCTAGCAGCTAGCCACCGAAATTGACAAACTCAACTATCACGGAAACACAATGTTGAGTTGCAGCAAGAACCCTATCTTGTCCTTCTATAGTCGCCGACATCAACCCTTCTCTCTCTCTCTCTATTTTCCTTCCTTTCTCTTTCAACCTGGCTCTATATATCTATATGTGTGTGGATTGAATTGAATTGATATATGTATACCGATTTGGGGGGTTTGAAATTAGGGTTTGGTAGAACGGGGAAGGAAAATGGGCCCTCGATTGAAGTGAGATGGGGAAAGAAGGGAGAAAGAGGATTGGAATTGTGTGGTGGGTTTTGGGAGTTGCAATTTTGGAAATTCAAACGTGGATTGTAGCGTCTATTTCTGCAGTTGCTGCCTTCGTCCTTCCAACTTCCAAAAATAGATTTTAGTATTATTTTTGAAGTATTTTGTTTTTTAAATTTTTAATTTTTTATCTCATGCATAGTCTTCACTACATAAAATATATACAAAATAGACTGTCACTATACAAAAAAATATACTAAATAGACTGTCACTACACAATTTATATACAATAGACTGTCACTATACAAAAAAATATACTAAATAGACTGTCACTACACAATTTATATACAATAGACTGTCACTATACAATTTATATACAATAGGCTGTCACTATACAAAAAAATATATAAAATAGACTGTCATTGCACAATTTATATACAATAGACTGTCACTATACAATTTATATACAATAGGCTGTCACTATACAAAAAAATATATAAAATAGACTGTCATTGCACAATTTATATACAATAGACTGTCACTATACAAAAAATATACAAAATAGATTGTTACTATACAAAATATATACTAAATAGACTGTCAATATACAAAAAAAATATACAAAATAGACTGTCACTATACAAAAAATATATAAAATAGACATTTCGGACTATTAGATGTAATATGTTTGGGCCGGAGGGCCATTTCGTGTCAATGGGGATTAACATGGGCTATTAAAATTTGGGAATTTTACCTATATGTACTACATTAGAAACTTATTTACCCCCATTGTTTAGGTTTTAACGTAATTACAAGTTGATATACAATTTACCAATTATATACAAATTAGTATTAATGAATATCCTATTATATTATGAATTGAATAGGGAATTCCCTCTTCGCTCTCTCTCTCTCTCTCTCTCTCTCTCTCTCTCTCTCATTCTCTATCAGTATTCTTATATTAATATCTTCATGTGGATTAACTGAATAAATGATACTAATGTTAAGTGAAAAAAAGAGAAAAGATTAGTACCTAGCAAAGTTCTTGCTTCAGATCCTATGAAAACGAGGAAGTAAATAAGAAAAAAAATTAGCTCTGATGAAGAGAATCATTTTAGTTATCATTCTTTTAGCTTTTTGGAATCAATAAACAAAATAGTATTAATTAGAAGCGAGTAGATTGAATTGGAAACTATGTTAATCCATTAAAAACTCCATTGACAACCATTAAAAAGTTTAAAAACTTTGAATTCAAAAATAAAATTTTATGAAATTATATTTTGTTTGGATGGGGTGTTATTGCAAATGATTGGGAATATCCGTTTGAGTTTATATATCAAATTTGAGACAATTTGGTGAAGATTCGAGGTGGTTTTGGTTGAAATTTCAGATTGAAACTTGAAAAAGAAGACATGAACAAATTGTATATATTTTATATGTCGAATGTAGAAACGGTATACAAAATATCTACAACTTACATAATTGTATATAAGTTGTATATAAATTATAGTTTTTGACCGGATTCTGTACAAAAAATGTGTACTTATGTTGTAGATAAATTGTAGATTTTGACCGGATTTGTATATATTTTGTAAAAAACTTTTGTTGCTTCTTGTAAATATGAAAATTTAGATAAAATCGGGTAAATAAGTTTAAAATCTTGTATATATACGAAAAAGTCCCATAAAATTTTGAGGGGATATAGAGAGTAGTTTTCCCAATTATTTATTGATGGTACGCTTTGATTTTGTTGTGCTCTGATAAAAAATAATTTACCTATTGTAGGAGAATATTATCCCACTATTGTCTGTCATGGTTCCAGGGCCGGCCTAATGGCCAAGCAAGTAAAGCAGTTGCCTAGGGCCCTTTATTTGTAGGGGCCCCAAAATTTTCTGATTTTTAATGTATTTGTCCATTCATTTTAATAATATTAAATATTTGAAAAGAAAAAAAAATATTAAGTTTCAAGGAAAGGACGTTGGAGAACAATGAGAAATGAAATCTATTTTGGGAATTCAAGCCCCACGCGTGAACAACTAAGCATCCCACTATGTTGTGTCATTTGTCTACCATTATTATTTTAAATGGGCCCATATTCTTTATCTTTTTTATCTTTCTCTCTGCAAAGCTTCTCTAGACTCTATATTCTAAAATTTCAATCTCATTCGGTTACTACCTCAAAATAAAATACCAGAACACAACTACACAAGTACCATCTGTTTGATTTGCTCTCAAGTANTCATAATTTCTGCTAAGAAAATTGCATATGAGTTGAATATAGAACCTGAATTTCGTAATAAACGTGTAATATGTAGAAAGAAACAATTTGATGAGAACGTTGATAATGAAATTACAAAATCTCTTGAAGAATCTTTTAGAGTTGATTACTTCTTATACATAGTAGACCAAGCTATTTTTTTACTTCAAAGTAGATTTGAGCAATTTGAAGCGTATGAAAATATTTTTGGTTTTCTATTTAGTGGCAAAACATTGAGATCTCTAGATGATGAGAACTTAAATAAAAATTGTCTTAACCTTTGAATGTTCTTTGAAACATAATAGTAACTCTGATATTGATGGTTTGGACTTATTTTATGAATTAAAAGTTTTAAGGGAAATAATACACGTAGAAGATGATAATCTAATCGATATACTTAATCATATAAAAAGACTTGATTCTTTTCCAAATACTTATATTGCTTATAGAATAATGTTAACAATTTCTGTAACAGTTGCCTCAGCGGAAAGAAGTTTTTCAAAATTAAAATTAATAAAATCTTACTTAAGATCAACAATGTCTCAAGATAGATTAAATGGATTAGCTATATTATCAATTGAAAAAGAATTATTAGAAGAAATCAATTACAAACAAATTATTAATAATTTCGCATCTCAAAAAGCTAGAAAAATAAATTTTAAATAAAATTATGAGTTTTCTTCTACAACAAAAATCTTAGGGCCCCCTATTGAAGTTTGGCTTTAGGCCACAAATATCATTGAGCCGCCCCTGCATGGTTCGTCGGTTAAAAAAAAAAAAATAGGTGTGGTGTGTAAAATGCATGGGTAAAAAGGGATATTTAATTTTTAAGCCACAGAAGACAAATCATTTTTCATAGTTTAAGGGTAAATTTGACCTTTTCCTAGTTTATTAAATTTTAGCAAACCATACAATCATCCTCTGTTACTCAATAACGATAAATATAGCCTATAACGACAAGGATTTGATTGACCCAACCGCTAACGGAGTGACCTTTTTGCATAATATAGGGATATATTTGACTTTTTCCTATGAAAAGTAAATCTTCCCTAGCTAAAGTAGTATTTGATATATATTACTAGTATTAAATAATCCCCACAGTACGTTACGTGAAAATTTATATATTTCAAAATATGAATATGAAAGTGGAATAAAAATACTTGTTTTTAAGGACAATATACGCTCATGAGTCATGAGCAATATAGAGATGAAAGTATTTAAGGACAATATACCCATAAAGTTGGTCTAACTACAGTAATAATTTATTACGCACTGCATAATAATTTTTACATACTATTCACTTGTAATATGTACACATAAAAAAAAAATCTTGGAAGAAAAAATAAAATTTGAGCGAAAACCATGATTATACTTGAAATACTCCTCAAACAAAAAAAATTAAGTTTCAAAAATAATTCAAATAATGAAATTCAAAATTAACAAATAATGAAAAACTTATTTCTTTGAATAATAATTTTTTCGAGTAAAATTCATGTTCAAATTCGAATTCATTTTTCAAATGCTCGCACTATCAAAGCAAAAATTTATGTAGCCACCAAATTATACTACTAAGATTTTCTTTTACTACTAAGATTTCAATTTCAAATCAAATATTCTCCAAGCACACAACCAAGTCAAAAGAAAAGATTTGTTGGGTAAAAAAAAATTCTAATTTTTGCAAAACCTAGAAGTGAAAAAACTTTTCCACGCAAAGGCTAAAATTTCTTATTTTCATTTTCTCCAAAACAAATGTCGAAAAAAAGACAGACTGTTATAAAATAAAAGTAACTTAGTAAAACATGAACAAAATATGTTGTTATGAATTAAAAGCAATTTAGTAAAATATGAACAAGAAATGGAGATAGAGAAAAGAAAGAGATTTTCTTCTTCAATTGTGTGTATTTTCCTATCTATTACAAGGCTTTTATATAGGCATAAAAAGTGAAAAAAAAAAAATATGTCATTGAATATGTCATTAAGCATAGAAATATGTCATTGAATATGTCATTAAGCATATGAGAAGATCACGGAGAAAGAGTAGACATTCATCGTAATTTGATTTTTCTTATAACACAAACAATGATAAAACCTAAAAACAAACTAGACAAAAAGCAGTAGCAAGCTAAGCTCACCTTCACCGTCTCTCACACATTTCCTCCATAAAACCCGAGTTTTTCCTCCATTAAAACCAGTAGCTTCCTCCATCAAAATACTAGTCAGGCAAATACACGAGCTCTCTCCTCTTATTTAGTTTTTCCTCCAAATCCAAGTTCCCAACAATGGCAATGAGTAAAGCTGAAAAGTTACCCGAAGAAATCATAGTTGACATACTTACCCGGATGCCCGCAAAGTCCGTAGATCAATTCAGGTGCGTATCAAAGCGATGGTGCTCTCTTCTCTCAGACCCTCATTTCATCAAAGCTCACCTTAATTTTATGCCCATAAGAATGAAGCGAAACTCATTTATACCTCTCTTTCAAATTCTATTTACACTATCACGTTTAACCACAACCACCAAAATGGAACAATTGAGGCCATTTCAAGAAACCTTAATTTACAGCAGCTCCCAGAGAACTTGGTTAATGTGCTTGGCTCATGTAATGGCTTGGTCTTGTTGATGAATAAGGATAATGTCAATCTTTTGATAAACCCCACAACCTTAAAGTACCATAGAATTCCAACCTTTCATTTGGCTCTTCCTGTGCCTGGTAGTTTTAGCATGTATGGTTTAGGGTATGATGTTGTTAGTGATGATTATAAGGTGGCCGGTTACTCTTTCTCGACATATTGAAGATGAATGGGATTTTGCCACTACTTTTGTGGATGTGTACTCTGTGAAAACGGGTCTATGGAGGAGAGTTGAGAGGATCAGCTCATGATTCGGGGGTTTTGGTAAATGGAGCTTTGCATTGGATGGCTCAGAAAGGTTCCGATCCTTCATATGTAATTGAAGCTTATAATTATTCATGTATATTTGCTGTTCCTCGTACATGTAGAATTGTTGCTTTTGATTTAAGTGATGAGAAATTGTCGGAAGTGCCAACACCTACTGAGCTTGGTTACCGTGATTTGCGTAAGTGTACTATTGCACAAAATTTTTAAATTGGTCCATATTTGATTCAATGAAATGAACCCTTTAATAGTTTTGTGAATGGTAATTCTTTTGTCCTCGGAGAGTGCTGTGATGATAATTCTTTAGTCCTCAAAAAAAGTTAATTGTATAAATGAAAGAAAAAACTTGGATTTGTAGATTGAACTAATTCAGCGTCATAGACCGGAAAAGGATAGTTCAATTTTGAGCACACGCCGTCTTGAAAAGGAATAGTTCTAGATGTTTTTACTGTTATTTGAATCATGACACTTATCTCACAATAAGCTCATGTAAAATTAGTCATGGCCACTCCCATGCTTACTGTTTTTAAGCAATTTGACTTTAAAACTGTTCTGGAAACAGAACTAATCTTATGTTGTATGCCTCCTTAATTTTATAATTGTCAAGATCTATCTCTACAAAGACTTTATTGAGTACATGGTGGTATTTCATGGATTTACATAATAGCAAACAGAAAAAAAAACTACAAATACCCGGTGCTTCCACCATATCGGTGAATGTATCACACGTCTTTTATACACATTTTATCACTTAACTATAGTTAATTTGTGTATATTGTCATTTCTCGATTTATCTTCAACTGTGGTAAAATTCATGTGATTTGGTTTAAATACGGAGTGTGGATAAGTATTTCTCATAGCGAATTGACACTTGTTCTATGACTTGCACAGGAATTAATCTACTCTAGCAGAATTGGACGTTAAGAGAGCTGCGCACAAAGGCCTGGATCTTAATATATTTTAATCCCAAGGGTGTTTCTCCTTATGTATTGTGTTATGAAATTGATACTATTTTAAATCTTAGGAAAATGATTGGAGGGTTTTCCTAGAAAACTTGGAATTGTGATTTCTATTTTATGATGAAGTACCTATGGTTGATTATTCACATCTCAGTTGAGTTCTTAATATCCGATGAATAGATGATCTGATTTCTATTAACTTGATGTTTTATATCAAGTTACCTTTTCTAAGAAGACTTGGAATTGTGATTTCTAGTTTTGTTTATTGCCATATGACATATCCCCATAATTAAATGGAACTAATTTAATCACTTTTTTAAAATAGAAAATGCCAGTTACCGCTTTGTAATGCTTTATATCAAAATAGTGAAAGATTCCTTAAAAAAAATACTCATCAAAGTTTTACTCTTGATAGTGGCAAACATTTTGAAACTGATAACGAGTGAGATTCAAACATTTTTTCCTTTAAGGAGTCAGGTTGCTAACAAGATCCTCCTTATTTTACTTTATATTATTATTATTATTTAGGGGAAGAGGAAATGCTGGGCTTCGAAACTTTCACTTTCATTATGGACGCTTGATACCAAGATTCTTAATCAAAAAAAAATTGTTTCAACAGTATATAAGCTGAAATTGAAATTGGCAAAAGAGCTAGCAGAAGTTAAAGTTGTCTTGACCATGAACTTCACTTGCAAAAAGAATTGCTAAAGTTAGAAAATTTTGAATGAAAACCAGCACTACACTCGAAATACACCTTCAAATCACTATTTCAAAATTTCACGTGAAATACAAATTTGCAAAAACTCTTTGCCCAAACTAAGATTTAGTTCAGCATTGGAATATTGAATGGTTATATCATGGCCAAATAGGCCTGCCCCTTCTACGTATATTCACATCAAAATGCTCAAAGAGTCCCACCTCAATCCCTTAAAGTTGTTAAGCACAACACAATATCTGCACATGCTAATGTGTATCCCCTCTTTTGAGGACAACTGATGTCAGTAACCATAAAGTTATAGTGAAGTCCACGGTGATTACTCGAGAACTTGTACAAAGTAACAAGTGAAGCTATACAGCTAATACAGTTTTTGTGCTTACAGAGCACAGTTTGTATAATACATCAAGAATGCCGCAAAGCATGTCTCCCAGTAGGCATTTAGTCTAAACGGTCAGAAACTAATCAGTACCTCTCCACTCCATGCTGTTCAGTTTCTTGAGATGCAGTGGTAGCAAAGGCAGGAATATTTTCCACTTTCTTGATATGCAATTGTAGCAAGCACAGGAATATCATACAAGACCAGTCACGGCAGGGGACCCGAGTGCTGGAGATCACGCCTATATTCTGTAACGGCAGACAGTTCATTTGGTTAAAAGTTGTACATGCAATTTAAGAGTTGTCAAACAGACACCTCCGAATTGTCATAGCGAATTCACCAACTTTTCCGGGGTGCAGGAAGGTTGCACATAGACCAAGACACACAGCAAAACCAGTGATTACAAACACAAGAGTACGAGACGTCAAAACTGTCTTTCTAACCAAGAAGCCACAAGGCTTCCCTGACTGCTCCTTCACTCTCAATGCCAATTCTGCATCCAAAAGTGGGACTGTTGAAGTGCTTTCCCAATAAGCCGAACCAAACTCTAGGTTGTGCTCATGTGGTACCTCCACGTCCTACATATTATGAAGCCACAAATATATTTAGCATCAGGTATGAGTCATCACCCTCCGAAAACACGTCTTACTATAGTAAGAACAAAAAAATGAACTGCTAAGAGACATTCTGAAGGTAAAAAGCGATTCATATACTCATTACTCGAATCTGTAACGTAAAATAAATGACCATTTTTATTTACCACAAGTGCATAGACAATGTAGTTAAAAGCGAAAAGTGCAAAAGAGCAACAAGATCCATGGGGTTTGAAGCGAAAAGCGAGAAGTGAAGCGCACTCGTCTTTGAAGGGAAGTACACAATTAACAACATTAAAAGATATCAAATATATATGAACGCCATAATGATAGAGTTGCAATTAAAACAACTAATTTCAGTATCCAATATAAAATAATACCTATATTAATCCAACTCCTCAAAGTTGAGATTCAAAGAACCTACTATTTTTAGTGGGAATCACTTTGTGCGTCGCTGTTTGAAGCGCACAACTTCATCCATGAAGCGATAATCTCTAGCTTTGCATCCATCAAGAGACGAACCGAACATTACACTAAGTCAAGCTCATTTTAGATGGGGTTCAAGCCTAGCGAAGAAAAAGTTCACTTTGGGCTTCAAAGCCGAGGCATATTTTATGTACCAACAGTTTGATTCACCAGCATAAAGATAAACGTAAAAGATTATTCTAAATTAAAGCATTTAATTAGAAACTAATAGCAGAACTCAATTCTGCAACATACTCTAAAATAATATGGCAATGGTAGAAATGAGATAGTCACCTCATTGTTAACTGGAAAAACAGATTTCATATGATTTTGGAAGATTTCACTAGAAGTATTTGCCTCCTGCATAATTTGTCCCGCATCTCCCGCACAATATTCCTTTAGCTGCAACCTTTCCTTGAACAAATTATTTTTCTCATAAATATTCCTCTGAAAAAGCCTCATTTCAGCATCAGTGATGCCAGCTAACAAGTTTCTATTCACCATATTTTCAAAATAAGGCAATACTCTTTTCAAAATAATAGTCGACTGACTTTCCATTAAAACGTTCAACAAATAATTAAATCTCTGCATCTGTACAGACGCCACAATCTGAACATTTTCTGATGAAGGCTCCCTTAGTAACCATGCCACATCCAACATAAATTCTGAGAATTCTGATTTTGTACACGTGGAATCTTCACATGGAGAACAAACAGCAGTGTGTTCTGACCCTCCAGAACAGAACTTCCGTTGTATTTCTTTCATTTCTACACAAATATCTTTTTCCGCAATGAGGATGGGAATGAAGTTAGATAAACCAGATTCATTCTCGACCTACAAAATAGACCAGGTTGAATCTTTTACAGTCAAGATTAGTGAAACACAAAGATAGGTTCAAGGTATTAAATACATGAACAATTGAAACCTTGCGCACTCTTTATTACTCCATCAGCGTACATATTCAGTTGGGATAGACCTTTACATTAGAAAGTTAAGGCTCATTTCAATCAAAACTAGCAGTCTAGCACCAAGAAAGTGCTGTAGTAAAAGATACAAAAAGTATAGCTAGCACCCCTGCCTTTTTTTAGATATAAATGATGTTGATGTTAGGGCCAATTTGCATGCACCTCGACTAATCCGGGAGACAACTTTCTACAGCTCACAAATACATGTGCAGGGTAAGGCTGCCCGCAAAGGCAGGAGCAAATAGACTCATACTGAGTGTTTTAACTAGGATTTGAACCTGGAATATCTGAATTGTCACTCGTATGCCTCAACTCAACCATACACTAGAAGATTATAATTAGCCCTTCTCTTTCAGTGTAGGGAGCATATAAAATCAATAAATGCGAATTTTCTCAAAGAATGTACGACAGAATTTTTCTAACATTTTTTTTAAGAATGGTCTTTTTCAAACGTTATTCCTCTAGTAGTTTCCGTTAAGAGTATATACAAGAAAATACAATGACATGATGCACGGTGCTAATTAAAGGAATGATACATTTATAAGCAAACATACAAAAATTGGAATGAGGATAAAAGAAGATATTTGGTTAGAACTTCTACCTCAACAAAAGCGGGGCCAAAAAGATCTGCTTCAGTCCTAGGGACATGTATCTTTAATAATTGATGCTCCATGCTACCAGATCCACCTTCATTTTTACTACATGAAGGTGTAACACTGATATCATTCCCTAAATACCTTCCCCCAAATGACACAAGAAACCTGCCAAGGGCATCAACATGTTAATTTATAAAAAATGATCAAAAATAATATGAAAGATAACAATTTTCCTCTAAAGCCTCCATGAGGTAATAGAGATACTAGACTAATAGGCGTTCGATTTATTTCAGCTTTTCAAAAAAAAACAAAAGAGTTTACAGAATTTTATAGCGAAACTGCAACTATCTATGAGCATAGCAAACTTGCAAATNAGAAAGCAGTCCATAGCTCATCAAAACGATTTATAAATATGACGGCCAAATGCAAGTATGAGTTAAAAATATGAGTAGATGCGAGCGAACGTGAAAGCTTGCAATCTGGTAGGATCAAAAGCCTTCTGAACTAAGCAAACAGACAGAGCAGCCATGACGCATTAAGACGATTTGGCTAACTACGAACTTATCTTTTTATTCCACACCATCAAAAGCAATACTCCTTCCTATTTATGTGATTGTGTTTGACTAAGCACGGAATTTAACAAATTAAAGAAGACTTTTGACGTGATAGCCAAATATATGCAAAGTACCAAAATTATCATTTTAAATGAGTAGTGATGAGAGCTCCACACATCTTTTCATTCAAAATTAGTGGTGAGGGTCCTAAAAGGTCATGTTGCTAAGGGTAAAATGGAGATCTTAAAATTAAATAGTTTCCAAAAAGAGAAAGGTGCCATACTTTTTGGGATGTCACATAAATTGGGGCAGAGGGAGTAGTATTTATCAAGGGTATGATGCTAGGCCTAGATACTAAAACTCATCTATGATATATTTTACAAATATTTGCGCTAAGCCAGTGCACAACAGGTGTAACTACAGGTACAAATATTTGCGCTAAGCCAGTGCACAACAGGTGTAACTACAGGCTATCCAAAACTGCCATTTCGTCTAAAATAGCATCTACATCTTGTACAATAACTAGTTTGCACCAAAAAGCAAGGAGAAAAAGATCTTCTCTTTCCTATTCTTGTACTCCCTCCATTTCAAAAAAATTGGCATACTTCGGAGTAAGAGAGTCAAAGTACTTAACTTTGACTATGAATTTGGACATAGATTTTTCAATTTTTTGAAAATAAAATTTACTTTAGGAAACTACGTAAAAAGTATTATAAGTCATAATAATTCATAATTCAAAATATTTATAAAATATTTAAGAAAAACATGGTCAAAGAACAACCTCGTAGACTTCCCAAATAGCAATGGTGCCAATCTTTTTGAAACGGGGGGAGTATATATAATTATTAATATTATAAATTGCAGCGACACAGATCCTTGTAATAACTAAATTCACATCCATTCAGCAACTCCCATTAATTGCTCATACTGGTGTTTGTAATCTATGCCCAACTGAGAGTTGCATCAGAGTTGGCAAAAGAGGAAAGAAAGATCTTCTCTTGCCTATTCTTCACTTTACACCCCATTGGCTATAGTTTCAAAACTGTATCAAAAGCAAACAATTTCATTACCACCAAGCAAGTAGCATAGAACGGGCACGAGGGTCGTACCATACACCAAAGGCAGCTAGTACTTCATGAAAAAATCAAGGGACCGATATGAGTTGGACATGATTTATATTTAAATCTTTCTTTTTTCTATTCCTTTTCTTTTCGGATGCTTTTTAATAACATCATTGTTTGAACCAACTTGTGTGCACCTTAATTGTTCCACCTGGGATCTGGATTACTGAAGCAATCATGGAGTGAAAAAGAAACATGAAATTCTTCGAAACGATGCAGCAAAGCAAGAGGACAACACCAAAAGTCTGAACGAAGTTTTTTTCTTCCATTTCAAGTTTGACATAGAACGAGGGTTGTCCATCAAATTCAATTATATTCATCTTCATCAAGTTTTAAGCCTGCAAATTGGAGGGATTTTTTTGTTTTTCATTTTTACTGGGATCAGGGAAGGAGAAAAGGGACACTGAGACTAGAACCCACACCTATTGTGTTGGAGAATGCCACTAGTACAACTGAACTATAAGCCTTGGAGTGTTCACGCCTAAAAGCTTTTATTTTTAAAAATCTTTATAAGAATGAGGCTCCAATATTTCTTGACAAGTTTTAGGCCTATTTTTAGTGAAAATTTACTATCCAGAGTCCAACAATCTATCCGTAATAAGGACACCCATGTCCTAAAAATCCATGCAGAAAAAATATGTGTCACTTCTTGAATCACCAAATACTCCCATTTTCCATCATACAAATGGGCATACCCATTTGAATCAATAAAAGAAAGGTAAGTGGACCTAACCTATTGAATCATGACTATATCCGCTATTTTGATATTCAAATTCAATTGAAATTTGAGCATGAGCTAAGCTCTAACATGTCTAATGCATCCCTGCCCTATTGGAATCGAAGTCCAACATACAACAACAACAACAAACCCAGCATAATCTCACAAGTGGTGTATGGGGAGGGTAGTGTGTATGTAGACCTTAGGCAGAGAGGCTGTTTCCGGTAGACCCTCGGCTTAAGAAAGATAAAAGGAATGGCAACAACAAGCAAACCAATCGAAAAACCAAAGCAAAAATACAAAACCAACACTAGGTAATGCAATCAAAAAATCGAAATGAAAGCAATAACAAGTAATAACAAAAGTCAAGGAGTCCGAAAATACACAAATGACACTAAGTAATGTACTAAAGCTGTTGTTACAAACAAGGACATCGCTCGGCTACCTAGCCCATTACCTTTATTCTCGACCTTTATACCTTCCTATCCATAGTAATGTCCTCTATACCAGATGTTCTAAGCGTACAAGAAACTCCATCCAGAGGATAAAAATGAATTGTATATTACTTTTTTGTCTTGGTAAGAATGACTGTGAATCCATACTTGTAGTCATAGAATCCCTGTAAGTTTTTGTCTAGGGGGACTTTATTTTGCTATTATGGAGGATGTATCTGGTTAACAGCACAAGCTTTGTGCTAATATTTTTTAATATATGTAGCATGTTACCAATTTCAAAAAAAAAAGGCAAACATATACAAACTCTCAGTTTCTAAAGCTCGGATAAGCTAGTTTTAGTAGAGTCAGCAAGCTTGAGATTTTCTTTTGTCCATAAACAACTCAGTTCCTATCATAATATCTCCTGTTGAGTGTTGACAACTAATGAAGAACTCAAGATACTTTGACAGAACCAAACATAAGCAGAACATAGATTGACAAAAATGCGATTCTAACTCATACCGGAATCTGGGCTGCATTAGATTGCTTCCACAGGCAAAAAACTCCATAGGCTTGCCAGCCTCAAAGCAAGTAGGATGAATAGACTTAAGCTTTGGTGCTGGTCCCTTTAGCTTGACTTTCACTACTGAATTTTCACCTGCTTTATAAAGAATATTTGTTACCATTTAAAATTGCAACTTCGGTGTTGATCTGTTATTTTGAGTTTGTGACTTGTCCCACCAATATTATGCATACATAATATACACGGATAAACATACATTTATATATGGAAAATGTGAAAATTGTTTCCCCATTGTCCATAGGGTGGGCCAACTCTGATATGGAACTTCTCTTCCTGTTCAACAATGTTCAAAAGTTCGCTAATTATTTTAACCCCTGACCCCTCGGAAAAAAATTATATATGCACTTGGGAGTTGGGCCTACCTACTACCATGTCTAGAAAAACTAGGAATTAGGACTACGTTTTTCAGTAGAAAATTTTAACTAGTCACTTGATAGTGATATTGACAAAGAGTAGATCATAATACAATGTGCTATATGACATTGACCAGAACAGACCACGGAAACGAGAGTTTAAATCCCAGTGAAGGCCAAAAAAAGGGGAAATTAGGTGATTTCTTCCCATCTGTATAAGCCTTGGTAGATAGGTCACCCGACACATGTGCTGGTAGGAGGCATTATCAGAATAATAATAATAATAATAATAATAATAATAATAATAATAATAATAATAAAATAAATATATAACAATGACCAGACCATCTATATTTACAACAGAAACGGAAAGGAAAAATTGTTCTTAAACTCACAACTGAACGGTAAGATATGGAGATCTGGGAACTCATATTTTGAATTTAGTCGGAAGAAAGTGAATTTCAGATTGGTGTGCGTCCAAGTCAACCTAGGAGGGATGGTGAATTCAGTTTCATTCAGATGTTTATAAATGGAAACTATTTAACAACCTTATGTACAGAAAAAGCAAACAAAGGTCCAATTAAATACTCCCTCTGCTCCAATTTAAATGACAGTTTTCTATCTTGCATGGTTCCAAAATTTCTAACGCCATTCCATTTTTATACAACTTTCAAACTTTCACGAATTCAAATATATCAAGCTATTCAGCTTTTAATATTTTGAGTGATGTTTTCTCTATCAAACTAACTTTTCAACCATTAGTCCGACATTTTTCTTCCATCTTATATTTAGTCAAACTAGCATCTTAAATTTCATACCTAGTCAAATACCGTCAATAAAATGAAATGGCAGGATTAGTCGTATTAGCCAAACAAGATCTACATCAAATGAAAAAGTAGGGTCTCAGAAATAAAGATTAGACCTCATTGATCTTATAAGTTCGTTCCAACAGAGCTTAAGGGTAGAAAACTTGAGGTACCAATTTACCTTTTGTAACGCGAAATACCATGTTGTTGAGATAAACAAGAAAGCTTCCTCTCCCGCGAAGCATGTTTCCAGGTGATGCAATAAACTCATATAGGTGTGCAGCTGGGTCTTCCAGCAACTGTTAAAACCAATGAGGAACTCGATCATTTAGAAACAAATGATGTTCTATCAAAGCATAACACGGAAATCCACAACCAAAATGTTACAGAAGCCACATGTAGCAGACGTGTCAAACAGAAAGCAGTATGGTAACTCTTCCTAATATCTAACTCCTACAGCACTCTGAGATTCATTTTCACTATTGCATTGTGTTCTATGAGAGGAATTCCTGACCTAGAAACTCAAAACACAATCTCTTAGTAAAGATGGTCGTAGTACCATTCAAAGAGGAGATACACCACTTGCTCAAAATTGTACTAATCCATAGTAATATCTAAACACTTTAAGACCAATCATACACAGAATTTGGTTATCATCAGAGAGGAACAGTAACCATATTACCTTACCCCACTTGAATGTTGGCATTGCAACAAAAACTGTCAAGATTGTACAACCTGGACGAATATAGCCCTCCAATTCGACAGGCATACTGGCCAACCACTGGAAGATCTGTAGAGTAAAATGTCAATCAAACCCCATGAACTCTATTGGAGAAAAAGAATTTACTTTCTCTTATGTACTAAACTGTAATAATAATCCTTTAATACTTGGTGCCGGAGTCTTCGAGGGAACTCTGCAGGGTTCCAATCATAAAGCTTGAATGAGATCCGACCAGTGGGGCACT